CGCGCGCACGCAATTTTAAGGCTTGACATGTTTGGTGTCTTTTTACCCGACGTGACCCCCGTCTTTTATATTTTACCAAAAAATTGGGTAATAAAATGTTTTATCATTTAATATAGGGGAAACTTTTTTTTTTTTTAAATTTCTGTAATTTTTCCTTAATATAGTAAAAAATAAAACCCCCAGTGTTGAATAAATACCACAAAAAGAAAGCTCTATCTGTCCCCAAAAAAGGGTATAAAATTAATTTCAGTACAGCGTTGCATGACTAAAGGTCAGTCAAAGTACCGCAGCGCAGAATACTGAAAAATGGCCTGGATGGGAAGGTGGTTTAACACCGCGGATGTCAACTGGTTAATATTCACAAACTCAAGTTTAATGGTGCTTTAACAAGGCCAAATGCATCTACCAATTTGCAACATCCTCAACTATAGACTGCTCACTTTTGCAAGTGCTAGCATCTTGTGACACAAATGAAAAAAAAAGTTGCATCCTTTCAGAGAACCCCTAGGTTCTGAGAAACCCTGCACTACAATAAAGACTGCTACAGGGAATTATATATTTTTGTTATGTGTGTGCAAGCACATACAATATGCAGTTAATGTATAATGTAGATGCAGCGTGTCTTTGTGCCTCAGATTGATGGTTTTACTCTCCCAAAATGGACTCATAACAAGCATAACAGGTTAAAATGCATAATTGTCCTGATAGGGTTCAGATCCTTAGCTACAGAATTATGCTGAAACTTGGATTTGAATTTATGACTTTTCATCTAAATCCAGATTGGAAGACCAGAGCCATAAAAAGCCTTAATTTGGCAATATCAGTTATTCAAGTATTATTGTTTAATTGAATTAAACCCTTAGGGCCTGTTCACATGAGATTAGGTCCTGATCAGGTGCTGATCAGCAAACGTGGAGCTGCTGATGCAGTGCGTTTTTGATGCGTTTTCGGTCCGAATGCTGACAGTTAATTTTTTGTCAACGTTGATAACATCATAATAAGTGGAGCAAGAATACAATTTTTTCTTTTTTTCCCCCCTTAGCTGCACTGCGTTGCGTTTCCGTTCCGTTTTCCTTGCCTTTTGTGCGCGTTTGTGCGTTTCCGGACCGGACAAAATGTGACATGCAGTATTTTTTCTGTCGTAAGCTGAACGGACTGCGCACGTGAGAACTGTAGCCCATAAAACACATAGGGATACATTGGGATGCATTTTGAGTGCAGCAGCGGACGGATCCGGTCAGCACACAAAACGGACGTCGTGTGAACAGGCCCTTAAGCCCCATAAGAACAAAACTCTTCCTACAAGGCAGAGTGTCAGCACAGAGTACTAAAAAGATAACAATATACTTCTTCCCAGTTATGGAACAGCAACTAGCATGCTGTCTGTTGACAACCATAGAACTGATATGTCTGTACCCATACCTCCAACAGCTCATGCTCCTAAACTGCAGACCTTACAAAGAGCAAGATAGGAAATGTTCCTGCTTTTTAAAACCAAACAAACAAATGAATGCAATCCAACACAAACAGTTTCCAGTGACACTTTGTCATCTAGATGGGCTCCATTTGTTCAGTTAATTTTGCAGTTGAAAACAGGTTGAATTTCCTTTGTGTGGCCAGCTTATTCTGATTGTAAAATCTCTGTGCTATCATCTTTAAATTTAGTAACAACTATATAATATGGAGGCCTTAACAATCCATACAAGCTATATGCAATCAGGTAGGTCCACTTTTTTCAGTTTTAGAGTAGCAAAGGGTTAAAACCACTTTAGGTTATTTTTTTCATGTCTGCATCCCTTTGGGAGACTTCAATCCTTTTCTACCGCAGAGATGCAACAGGAAGTGAAATGAAATCTCTACCAAGTAAAGAGTTTCCCTCTTAGACAGTTGTCACTAGAACGGATGTCTCTTATTGGAACATTTAAAGGGTAATACCAGTTTCCCACAAAATTAGGGAAACTGAAATTACCCCCACAAGTTGGTTCCCTCTGCCACCATTGCTATTCATACTTTTGGGGGGAAACGCCGCTTTCCCCGCTGCAGCCTATGTACGATCCATACACTGTACAAAGCATTGTAGTCTTCCACATTCTATCCAAAACTAAAAAAAAAAAAGTTTGGGCTATACACATTGAACTTTTAGGGTACCATATAAATAAAGTATTTCCCATAACAGACGGTATTTTTAAAGACAATTCTCTGTGTTTATAGTAAAGTTCTATAAAAATACCTTTGGAACTTTTTTGTTTTTGTAGTCCTTCAGGCCTCATTCACATAAGGTGTGTTGCCCTGTACGGCGCAAACGGTCTTTTTTTCATGTGCCCAGAGCTTTAGGAAGTAGCGTGCGGACAGCTCGTGTAAATCTATGGAGACGCAGGAGCAGCGCACCCTAAAGGCTGCATTCACATATAGCATTTGCAGACGAAAACGCTAGTATTTTTAATCCGCATGGATGCCAGTTGTTTGCGGCTATTAAATAACCGTGAACGTGCGGAATTCGCCTGATTATCACGCTGGTACTATTTCGGGGGCCGCGTGGTACGAAACCGCAATGATCTGAACGATGTACATTAAAGTGCATTGTATTTTCTGTTTGGAGCGGCTCCGTGCGTGTCCGTACAGCCGAATACATGCAGACAGCCGCTCAGGCGTGAATGGAGCCTGACACGCTGCTTTCTACAGCAAACAGTGTACAGCCTTGGATGCATACATGATCGATCCGGATCCATGCACCATCTGTGTTCGGCTGTCAAAATTCAGAACTGTTGAAAGCAGTGTGTGAGGGCGCACAGCTCCTGCATCTCCATAGATCTACATGAGCTGCCTGCATGCTCCTTCCTGCAGCTCCGGGCGCATAAAAAAATGGCCCTTCATGCTGTACAGAGCGACATACCCCTTGTTAATGAAGTCCTCTTATCTCACTGCCCTGGAAGTTGGTATAGCAGAGTATCAAAGTCAGAAGTCCTTCTCTGCATATTACTTCTCAGTTTGTGACAACCAGGCAACTATAATTTCCAGAATGAAAAGTCAGCAATAGCTGCCTCCAGGTTGCTCTCAAGAAAAGTTTGCTTTAAGAATAATAAGTTACACCTAATGAAGAGTAAACAAGTAAAAATAATTCTCATGAATAAGACACATATATGACCCAGTCAGAAACAGGTTAAACATGTCTAATAGCCACGGAGCTAATCAGAATCTCAGCTTTCTCCAAGCACATTTTGTGATTGAAGTATCTAATTGTTTGGGCAGATCTTTTGCACCAACTTTATACAAAACTATGTTAAATCCTTCAATGACTTTTACAGACCTCCAACAAAGAAACCCTGTGAAATAATTGCAGCAAGCTAATCCTTTAAGGCTCTATTCACACCAAAGCAGATGCGTTTCAGTGCGATTTTTAAAAGTGCGTTTTTAATCGCATTTCAGCGCTAAAACACAATTAAAAATGCCCAAAAATGCACTGATCAGCACGTTTCCATTGAAATATATATGGAGTTTGATCAGTGAGAACAAATAGCTCAGGGAGCATTTTGGCAGCGTAGCCGCGTGATTGCATGAACGGTCCCCATAGAAATGTATGGGGATTGTTCATGTTGGCGGGTTCAGCGCTGACAAATCCGCGTGACCAAACTGCCCTGGTGTGGCTTAAGGCCCCGTTCACACCAGGGCAGTTTGTTCGCACGGATTTGTCCGCTCTGAACCGCCGACATGAACAACCCCATACATTCCTATGGGGACCGTTCATGCAATCGCGCAACTATGCGCGATCCGAACAGCCTGCCGCCCAAAATGCTCCCTGAGCTATTTTTTCTCACTGATCAGCTCGAATATCATATAGATTTCAATGGAAATGTGCTGAGCAGCGCGTTATTAAACATTTTGAATTGCTTTTTAGCGCTGAAACGCGATAAAAAAACGCCCTTTAAAAGTTTGCGCTGAAACGCATCCGCCCTGGTGTGAATGGGGCCTAAAGGCTGAAGGCAGAATACATTAATTCTATTCATGTGTGTGAAAATTATCCAGTAAACACATGTACTCAGTATAAGACCTGACTACCCAAAGTACATTGACGTAAAAACGCCATTTACCACAACGCTAACAACTGCCCTAGTGATCTCAATCAGTAGATTTTAATGCCCAAATTATCTGTAGAACTGAATTAAAGCAGAAATCCAGCCAAAAATAAGGTAGATAAAATGAATAGCCCATTAAAATAACAAAAGCAACTTTAGATTCAACATTCAGCTTCAATTCCGAGTACTTTTTTTCTGCCACTAAATGTCCTCAGCCTCATGGCCAGTATCATTCATCCCACTTCTTCTGAGCCCATGTTCTTCTGGACCCGTCCCAGCCTGTGACTGGACAGTGAATAGAAAAGCAGCAGTGATGAGCTCATCTCTGCTCTTTCCTCCTATCAGCATTCTTCTTGTCAGCACATGAGCTGATTGGCTCTTTCTGCAGCTTCTTCCTCTCACACCCCAGCCCTGCTATACAAAGACTTCAAGAAGCTGATACCAACAATTCCCATTGGGCTGCGATTGGAAGCAATGAATGGACAAGGCAAATTACCTTATGTTCTATTATTTTAGTTCACACCAACCTGCTTTGTTTGTGTATGCTGAAAAAAAAAGTGGGACAGGTTGCATTTTTGTACAGTATGTTCCCATGTATTATACCACATTATGCCATACAACACACTGCTGTGCATAGGGTTTAATGGATGTCAAGTTAAAGTAAAAAAAAAAGAAAAAACACTGCAACTTATTTTATAACGCAATGCGTATGCAAAAAGCGCACCAGCTGCATGTGTTTTATGTACTTTACTGCACCTACTGGTGTGAATGAGCCCTTAATGATGTATTATCGATTACAGGGCTCCAATAATATATTTTAAACCTGCCTAGAGTTCAGCATAAAATCTTCGTAACCCAGGATCCTGACGTTTATCTTTTTTTTTTTTACAAGAGCTGCAATAGGTAGAATATAGGAAGCATAGTCACCTAGTTTTGTTGTGGCGTGAGCGTACAAGAACGTCCAGCTCTTGACCAGTCACTAATCCTGTGTCCTGTTCTATCTTCAGTACTTGATCACTGCACCAATGAGGTAGGAATATAACAGCCTGGGCAAAAGAGGCTTTTTCTTCCCTAGGAGAAAAAAAAATTAAATTGAAATAAAGACCCTTGATGATAAGACACAAAAAAACTGGCTTGCCTTAATGTGCTAGAAAAAACAAATGACAGAATCAATAGTATCCAACGTGAAAGTAACACAACAAGCAATGTAAAAAATAATAAACCCTCCTCGCCTTACTTAATAGGACAGCAGTAAAGAAGGCGACCTTCCGCAGCCAAAAAAGAAAACGTTAAATCCAAGAGGCGTCTTTTTACAATGATATGAAAACAGAAGCAGGAAGAAAAGAATGATTGAGCAGAAGAATATCGCAAAGTGACAAAGAAAAGCTAACAAAGTAACGTTTTGTAGGCTCGTTTTGTGTGTGTGCAGGTGACAGTGACACAAACACACACTATGCTGTCATCTGAGGATGCAGCTGTCCGCATTAGCTGAACACCGGAAGCGGATTGGTCTTTATTGCTGTCACTCGAGGATAAGGCGGCCCCCTCGTTGGAGGGTTTGAATGGAGAGGGTGGGGGCAGATTTTGCACTGTGTCTCTGCAGGAAAAGGCTGTACTTGGCTCATTGACTCCTTAACTGCTTCTTTACCAGAAGACGTCATAAGCATTGCACATAACTGCGTTTTCTGCATAAAGGGCGCGAATGTTTGAGAACATTCCACATTGACATGTATTCCAGTCTAGATTCCCCTCTCAGGGTCCTGGCACACTTCAGCCTCTCCCTCCACACGCACCTCTTTGTTTTCTTTGACTCTTCTCCCGCCCTCTGTCATGGTGTGTCTGTCATACTGCCTCCCCTCCAGCCCCACTGGTGTGCCCGGAAAACATTCTAATGTTTTGTCGTTTCAATCTGTCTGTACACTTTCTCACACGCCAAATCTTTGGTAGAAGTTAGAGGAAAAGAGAACGCTCTATTTTATGATTACTGACGTCACATTGGTTATATTGAGCAGTACAGCTTGTACTAACTGTATTTATTTATCTAGGAAAGTAAGACTATCATACTTTCATAATGAAATCCGTGGACACCTTACTGGCTAGTGGCCACGTCTCCTTTTAACCACACCCACAAAACACCTCATTTGAAGCTGCTGTTCTATCAAAGATTGTGACTCGGTGACTGGTCACGTGGTCACACATTTTAACGTAATCACGCCCACTTTTTCGGCAGTGGAATATGTGACTGGAAAAAGGTGAAGAATTCCAACGTTTTCTCAGCTGTTCCAGGGCAGATCGGCATCGCAGATCGTATGTGCAGGAGAGCCGATCTGCCCTGGAACAGCTGATGGGTCCTGAAATGTGACTTTGTGACTGCAATCTCACATTCCACAAAGTCAGATAAAAGTGACATTTTAGGACCGATCAGCTATTCCAGGGCAGATCAGCTCTCCTGTACATACAATCTGCGATGCCGATCTGCCCTGGAACAGCTGAGAAAACATGGGAATTCTTCACCTTTTGCTGGTCACATATTCCACTTCCGAAAAAAATGGGCATGATTACGTTAAAATCTGTGACCACGTGAACTGTCACACATTCCACCGCCGAAAAACTGGGCTGGATTACGTTAACCACTTGCTGACCGGTGTTTACACCCCTTCCTGTCCAAGCCATTTTTCAGTATTCAGCGCTGCGGTACTTTGATTGACGTTTATTCCGTCATGCAACGCTGTACTGAAATGAATTTTATACCATTTTTTGGGGACAGATAGAGCTTTCTTTTGGTTGTATTTAATCACCACTGAGGTTTTTTGTTTTTATTTATATAACAAATAAAGTACCAAATATTTTTTAAAAAATGGGTTTCCCTTTTATTTTAGAAAAAAATTCTTTTTACCCAATTTTTTAGTAAAATATAAAAGGCGGGGTCACGTCAGGTAAATAGACACCAAACATGTCAAGCCTTAAAATTGCGCGCGTCTGCGAAATCGCAAAAAAGCACTATAGCCAAAATTTGCCATAGTCGACACTTTAAAAGTTTTTACCGCTCATCAGTTTAGTGTTATCAGTGATTGATGGCCCTAAAATTATTGCTCTCATTGCGACGTTCGCGGCGATATGTAACACGTGCAGCATAATTGGAGCAATTGCCGTTCTTGCGTGTAGGCGCATGTAACGCATTTTTGCGCATCTATGTGGGGGTGGGGGACTTTTAAAACATTTTGTGGGGTTTTTTTTGTTTTGTGTGTGTAAATTTGTATTTATTTTGTGAGCATTTTTTTATTTATTTAACTTTTCTTTTTTTTTTACACTTAAAATTATTGTTATCACGTAGGGTGCTCCTATGTGATAACAAATTACAGTTACAGGTCCCCTTTATGGAGACATCAGGGGTCTCTAAGACCCCTAATGTCACCTACGGACCCCCAGAGAAGCTGGTGAAGCACAGATCTGCTTCATCAGCTTCTGTCCGGTTTCTGTACTGGAGAGTGACAGAGGAATGCAGAGGTGATGTAATATACATCCTGCATTCCTGCATTCAGAGACCGGGAGGAGAGTGGACACCGGGATCGCGGGGACGACGGCGGCGGGGACAGCAACGGCGACGAGAGGTAAGGAGAGGGAAGGGGTGCACCCCCACTTGCATCATACAAGCGATCGGGTGTCTTTACAGACGCTTGTATGTAAACGGCCATCGCGTGCGCGCCAGGGGGCTCGAGCGGGCGCGGGCATGAGGGACGTCTAGAGACGCCCACCCGCATCCAGGAGACTCCTGTCCGGCCGTCTTTCAACGATCGGCGGACGGGAAGTGGTTAAAATGTGTGACCACGTCACCGCTCACACATTCTAACGCAGTCACAAACTTTGATAGAACACCACCTCCCTAAATTACACCCCTATTTCAAACACCTTGAAACAATTAGTTTTAGGCCCCATTCACACGTAGCGACATACCTTTTGCAGCGGCCGGGATAGCGCGACTTTCGGGGCGCCGTTCCAGCGACGATCCAGCGACGGTAGCGCGACCTTCCCCGTCAGGCTCCATTAGAAAAAAGCAAAATCCGCCGAAAAAAGGGACATGTAGAAGCGGCTTGCAACTGAGACGAGCGACATGGAGCTAAGACAGCTCCATTGAATGTCATTAGCCGGCGACTTCTCACGATATCGCGCTGCAAAAATGCGCGATATCGCGTGATAAATCGCTACGTGTGAATGGGGCCTTAGACTTTTGGAGCAAGAGGCAGATATTTAACCGCTTGCTGTCCTCCCATTGTGAATACTCGGACGTGTGCTTCCCGGCGGGTGAACATGTATTTCCGTAATTTTTTTTATTCTGCTCCAAAAACAGTCTTTTAACAGCCGGTACTGGCTGTAATATACAAGCGTTCGGGCCGCTCTATAGCGGTTCGATAGCTTGCATGATGGCGATCTGCAGCCAATGCTAGTTATACCGGGCTCCGCTGTCCTCCCTGCGAACCCGGGACCCACTGCTGATGTCTCCTCCGATGCTTGAAGGCAGATGTGATGTGTATTACCTTTTCTTGCCCTTAGCTGTCATTTCTCTGGCTGCTATAGCCAGAGAAGAAACTAGTGAAGGAGATCTCTGCTTAATTAGCTTCTTTGGGGGACCCTAGGTGACATTAGGGGTCTTAGAGACCCCTAATGTCTCAATAAAGAGAACCTGTCATTGTATATTGGCTATCACATAGGGGGCCCCCTATGTGATAGCAATAAAGTTAAGTGTAAAAAAAACAAAAGAAAAAAAATGAAAGTCACAAAAAGTTTAAAAAAAGCAAAAAAGATTTAGGTTCCCCGTCTCTGACTGCACGCACATATAAACCTAAATACGCGTCGGGCACACCTACGCGCGAAAACAATGATTTCGCCACACGTGTCACCGTGAACATTGGAGTGAGAGCAATCATTCTAGGGCTGTTAATCACTGATAAGCATAGGCGTCGCTACAGGGGAGAAGGGGGGGGGGATTGCTCCCCCCGTGTTATGCCGTTCCCCCCAGCTAAATTAAGCCCCCCGGCCGCAGGTACAGTGGCTCCCTCCCTCCACCGCCTCTCTGCCACCTGCAGCGCTGCTCCTAGCCAGCCTGCACACAGCAATGCCGCTCTCTATTCGGGCGGCTGCACCTCACTAGGGCCTCGGGAGACACCCAGAGGGTGGCCCTCTAACATCACTGATTAGAGGGCCGCGTCTGCCTGATATAGCCTACCAGGCAATCTGTGCTGGCTGGGTCAGGCAGACGCGGCCCTCTAATCAGGCATGTTAGAGGGCCGCCCGCTGAGGGCCTCCCAAGCCCCCCCTTGAGGAGCGAGCAGCCGTCCGATTAGAGAGCCGCATATGCTGCGGGCAAACTGACAGCTGCGGCCACAGCAGAGCCCCCACTAACAACCAGGAAGCCACCAGGGAGCACCCACTGGCCAACACAGAGCCCCCACTAACCACCAGGGTCCAGAGAGCCCCCACTAACCACCAGGGAGCCCCCACTGGCCACCACAGAGCACTCACTAACAACCACAGAGCCCTCACTAACCACCAGAGAGCCCTCACTAACCACCACAGAGCCCCCACTAACCACCACAGAGCCCTCACTATCCACCAGGGAGCCAAATCAGAGCCCCCACTAACCACCAGGAGTACGGAGGATGGTTGGTGATATCACAAGATTTCTCTGTAGCAAGCTTCCTAAATTGTTGCAAGGTTTGTATGTTGGTTGTAGCTATCCTGCATTTACTAGTGTACAAGCAATGAAAACAACAAGAGCGCATACACGTGGCCAATTGGATTGTATATTAAAAAGGGCTACTTACATAAAGCTGGTGAGGACTGGGTGTCATGCAGCCTCGGTGGAGGATCGGTGGTATCTTGTGTTTGCTTTGACTGAAATGCTGTCTGTAGCGGCCTTTGTGTCTGCGCATAATGTGGTGC